ATTACTTTTAGCTAATGGCTTTCATCACAACACAGTACAGTGTAAATATTCTTCTACATATTCTTTCATCTTGCATTTCATGGATAGCCTACACGTTAAAATACAATCTTCTCTGCTTAAACTCGAGAGTGGTAAAAATGTTTGATATTAAACTTAGATACTTATACGGGTACTTATAGAGATTATAGCAAAAGTAAATAATTATCATTGATTCCATTAAGGATATTTTTCCAAAAACATAATGAATAAATATTATGAATCCATGAATATAGATACGACGCCTTATGGAACGACTCTATCATGATTGGACTGAATTCAATAACGTGCAAGAACTTGAAATAATAAAAAAATATTCAGCTTTTGGAAAACTTCTCACATTGATTGTAACGTGTAAGCAATATTCTAAATAATCTTTTGAGATTCGATTCCGAATTTAATTATTTAATTGCAGTGATCGTCTATACAACTCTTTTCTGCTTCATCCTGATGATGTTTCTGACCAATTTTATTCTAAATATTCCAACTGCTATGAATGAATCACGCCACATACAACTTCCACTCCTGATAGAATATTTTATAGATCAGGACACATATATTTGCCTAATTATTTGTCATATGAGTTTTGTTCATTTGTGTGCATTTACTAGTATGATAGCCACTGAAACGCTTTTTATGTCATGTGTACAACATACATGTGGATTGTTCGAAATAGCCAGGTAACATGAATTTTAAAATGTCAATTAATTTCTAACGTATTTGTAAAGATGTTGCAGTTATATTATTATTTCAGTTATCGCATAGAACGAGCATTGCACAAAGATATGGTACAAGGTATTACATTCTTTACCAAAAGAAATTCAATAATATATCAAGGGATAATCAATGGATTCAGTATGTACATAAAAGCTATCGAGTATGTAATTGCTATTTGTAATATAATTAGAAACTTTTTGTAACATGCGATTCTTTTTTAACTAATTTAACTTTTTTCAAATTTATAATTTATAACATGTCATACGAGAAATTATATAAGTTATTAACACATAACTAACGACAATTATCATTTACAATTCTTTATATAAGTATTCTTTATGCATACTGCTATTTAAGGTTTATTGAAATATTAAAAATATATTGCAAATGGGCATATTCATCGTTATTACCGTTAGGAGTATTGTCGCTGAGTATTAATCTTTATCGCGTGAGTAATTATACTTATATAGATACTAGATAGAATTTATTTATAAAAACTGAATAATTAACATATTTTAATATTCAAAATACTACCAATATTGTGTGCCTGTTATAACTAAATTCGTAAATAAAAATTTTACTATTTTTTTCTCATGAAATTAAGATAATTATTCATATGCTGCAGTTTTCTCAATTAGTGACATCCGAGGAACATTACGAGATGATCCTTCGCTTCATGTTCATCGTTGCCCATTTTGGGTACATGTTTTTTTGCAACTATGTAGGACAAGAACTAATCGATCACAGCAGCGATATTTTTTATAAAACGTGAGCAAGTGAATATATAGGTTTAATTCTTAATTGATTAAAATAATCAGTCAGAGTCTCTTATTATTTATAAGTCTGCTTCTTTTATTTGATTTTTATTAAATGAAAGCAAAACAAAGACTAAATTATATTATGCAATCAATTAAGGGTTAAAAAAAATGTAAATCTGCGATATTATCTTGGTTTTCGTATTAAGTTATGATTTTCTAATGGCGAGATTTTAGGTACAACCTGCGATGGTACGTAATTCCGTTGAAAGCACAGAAGTTATTGTTACTTGTGATGCAAAGAAGTATGCGACATTGCACGGTCGTCATTGGTGGATTGTTTATTATATCATTAGAGGGATTTGCAACGGTATAAATTTTAGCAACAATAATATTTTGTTAATTAGTTTTGCTTTAAATTTAATACTAAAATAAAACTTATATTTTAGATTGCAAGCATGTCAATATCGTATTTTACAGTATTATTTTCTCTCTTTTGATCATCATTTTTTTATCTACGTATGATGAAAATTAAATTTTAAAATTCCACGATGCTAATAATTCTAATAGTAAACATATTTCATATACTCAAGTAGAAATATATAATACGGATGTAATTATATTATATTGTCATCATTACTGGACATAAAATGAATATAGAAATATAATATTATATTCACTGCTTAATTTTTGAATTGTTATTTCCGCAGAGTATGAAACACCTACTATCACTTTTCTATTATACTCACAATAACATAACGAATATAATCTTCTATTACATAGAAATTTAATGACGAAGTCAACGGAAATAAAAAGCTGAGAACATATAACACCATAGCAATTTTAGAAAATATTTTACAACAGATTCCTTGTATATTTATAAAATGCTTATAAGCATTAGTATATTAACTATTAGTATGACTATT